CTAATCTGCCGTCAAGCTAAAATGCGGCTAAATGACAAAACCAACTTTTGAGATATGGCCAAAAATTATGTACCTGTTTTACGTATCAATGACTTTTTAATAAATCATTATAAAAGAAATGAGAACCTTACCCTTCTAAATTTTGATTACCACAATAATTCAAATACAAAGAATCCTCCATTTTTCCAATTCAGAAGATGATTATTTACCTGTGTTATGTACCAATGAAAGAAAGAAATGAAAATATGAATATATACGTAATCAATCGGTTTTAATTTTTCATTTTACCAATTATTTCTCTATGACAAAATATATTATTTAAGTGTTCGGTATTCGGCCGAATATTAAGTAGATATTCGGTATTCGCCCGAATATAATAAAATCAGCCGAATAGGCCGAATACCGAATAGTAACCGAATATTCGTTGCAAGTCTAGTTATTACTCTCAAATGTGATTTAAATCTAGTTGTTGCCATACACGTCACCGCAGTGTTAATTGGAGCGTCACAAACCAATTACGTTTTGCGTCATTTTGATTCCGACAGCTGTTGCCGGTAGGACTGAATAGTGCGTGCATTTTGTTCAAATGTCAAACCACAATTTAAATTTAATCCTAGTAATGTTTTAAATGGGAAACATTTAAATAATTATTGTCTACACAATTTTGTTTTTCAATGATTACTTACTTAAATTTATTTATTATTATTTACGGATTTTTATTAACAAGTATTGCTAGTTATAATGTTTGTTTTGTAAGCATTTAACTGCTAGATGTTCAAATCTAAAGAAAAGTTTACTAGAGAAAATTCCACGAAGACCAAGCAGCAGGCGGGACTCGAACCCTTCGCTATCCGGGCGAATGCACTGACCAATTATGCTACCGCGGCCACGACGGCCGCGTCGAAATTTTTCTAGCCATACTTAAGCACGAATGCACTAACCAATTCTTAATTGGTCAGTGCATTCGCCCGGATAGCGAAAGGTGCGGGTTCGAGTCCCGTCTGCTGCCTGGTCCGCGTGGAATTTTCTTTAGTAACTGTTGCTAGGTAAATTGATAATGAATTTAATGATGTTCGTATCTTATATGTCTAGGACTAGGGAATAACAATGCTAGCTTTGTAGCGTACCTACATCCACGCGCTTCTTACGGGCAGTTGCTGAAAATCAGCATTTCGCCTATTAAGGCAAAAACACTGCTGAGCTTCTGTCTATTTGCATCACTGTCACTTACTAATGACTGTAGTTTAGACTTGATATTTAAGAAATTATAATCATCTATGTCTGCAGTGAACATGTATTAATGAGGGCTATCGCGTATGAATCCGCCGCTAGAGGCGCTAGTGTAGCGTGAGGTCTCCGAAATGTCAAATGTTATTGCTTGTTGGTTGACTACGCGGGTTTATTTCTAATTAAAATAATGTTGTGAATAATTGGTAACAATTCGGCTTAATTATGGCAAATATGAGTTATGTGGCAATGAATGTCAGTTATTAAAAATTTGAGCTTAGAAAAATGATTATGTTCCCATTTTTTCCGAATAAAACGGAACTGCGCGTCACTGTGGCATGGCCTATTATGTTAAGGATATGGTTCTTTTGTGTTAAAATACGATCTAAATGTAACCTTTGATTTCATGTGCGTATTAATAAACTTTAAAAGTTACAATTTAGGACCTCACTCAACAGTGGCGCCATCTGGTGAGGCAAAAAACGGTAGCCCTCATTGTATTAATTTGTGATGCAAATAAATGAATGAATTGAATTGAATTGAAAATAGACTTCTAAAAATAATAAAAATATCTTTAAAAGGGTTATCAGTTCAATCATGATAAGAAATAGGGTTCATCCTCAGTATAAGTGGAGATTAATTCAAAAGGATTTATTACAATTAATTGCGTATATTTTTCTAAAACGTGTAGACAAACAAGTGCACAGACCAACGGACAGCAGTACTAATAATTCTTTTACTACATTTTTTGTTATATATATACTAAAAGAATAAATGAAAAAATACGCTGACTTTATAATTTAATATGTCTAGTTTTGGAAACACCGTTTTTTTTATTGATTTAGTGTCTAACTTGGGAAATAAGAGCGATTATATATTGTAAAATCGTCACACAGCGGCCTATTTTTGAAGTTATACTTATTTAGCCGCGTTATGAAAAAAATATGAGAGTGAAATTTTAAGATGCGCGCGCATCACTGTAACACAAAAGTAACATAATGAAGTTAGCCGCGGGCGCGTTATGAAAAAATGATGAGAGTGAAATTTTAAGATGCGCGTGCAACACTGTAACAGAAAAGTAACACCATGAAGTCGGCCGCTAAACCGCACATTACTCGTAAGTCTCGAAAAAAAGCTTCCAACAAAATAGTAATAGGATCTCTTAGTAGCACATGTTGGGACGCTCGTCGCCTCTGATCACTGTTTTCATATTTATAATATTTATCCACATGTTTCTAGTTTCTATATTCTTAACACGTATTATAATGTTATACAAATGCGAAATTTATATGTGCTAATAAATTTTATTCAGTAGTGATTTAAATTGAATATTTAGATTATTTATTTAATTTTTCAAATTAAAACTGAACTTTATTGACTGCGTTGACTATCCTTTTCCAATCCTTTTATTATCTTATTGTAATTAATTATCTGCATGCAATTAAAAACTATTTTTTAATAATTCCAAAAAGAAGTATAACTTCTCACGCGCGTACTTAAGTACACGCACCCATATTTTTTTGTTTAAGCTTAAATGTGTACATCATTATAGTATGAGAGCCCAAGCGGGGATATTGTGATTTACTCGAGCGCGACAGGTTAACGTAAAATGGCAATCCTGCGCAGCACTCCCACCACACCTTACTCGTAGCTCTTTATATAGGGGCAAACATCTAGGGCAGCCGATCGAGAGATTATAAAAAATCAATCATTGGAAAAACTCGCGCGCGTCAAATTAAGGTTATGGCGCAACATTTCAAGTCAAAAATCATTGATTCAGTCTAGGCATAAGCACTTGTGAAATCGAGAAGCTACGCCATCGGTTCGCAAAACTACGGTGGGTGATCTTGTACTTAGAAAAACCGGCAATAAAAACAGCAATGGCTGTATTTCTCTCCCTGTATTCTTATATACAGATTCGTCAAGTTGAAAAATTACCTTCCATTACATAATTTAGAATAAAGCTAGTAGGTATATGGGAAGTGGCTTCCTAATTTTCTAGTGACTGCTTTTTGTAAAAAAATTGTTGTTTGAAATCTTGTACAGTGTACACGCCCACCAGTGAAAGGGTATACATTATGTAAAGAAAATATAACTAGAAAAAATTCCACGCGGACCAGGGAGCAGACGGGACTCGAACCCGCACCCTTCGCAATCCGGGCGAATGCACTGACCAATTATGCTACCGCGGCCCTCACGGACCGCGTCGAAATTCCTCTAGTCATTCTTAAGCTGCAAGGCAGCGCCATCTCTTCGCATTATAGGTAACCCACAATGTCAAATGAATACTTTTACAAGTATTAAACATTTGAAAGAAGAAATAGCAATTATAGTTGTAATTTTTATTTAGATTTAAACATCAAGCAGTTACATGCTTTAATAAAAATAAAAATTATAGGTATACATTATGTTAACCTTTTTTTAGCGTCTAGCTTCATAATAGTATTGCCGATCGATAGTCGACTATCGATGATTAATCGATAGTCTATCGATAGCCAATCAATCGTATGACAATCGATCGGCTTATCGATAGTATCGATACTATCGATAGCACAGAAAAAGCCAATACTATCGGATGAGTTAAATACTATCGATAGTATTGTAGTTCGTTAATAACAAACCATCGATAATATCGATACTATCGATTTTATTTGCAACCATACTATCGATAGTTTAACAATTTGCAATAGTATTGTTTACAATTTTCAGGTATTCTAGTCAATCACAAGCTTTAGTCTAAAACAATCGCTAGTATCGATACTATCGATAGTATTGTTGCGGATAATATCAACACTATCGATAGCATCGATACTATCAATGGTTTGTTATTAACGAACTTCAATAGTATCGAACGTTTCTATAGTATTGCACTCATTCGATAGTATTGCCTTGTTCTGAGCTATCGATAGAATCGATACTATCGGTTGTATCGATTCTATCGGTAGGCCTATCGATAGGGTACATGATTTTCGATGTAAACTGTCGATAGTTTTAATATCGATAGTTCGGCAACACTACTTCATAATCCAGTAGGCCTCAACGCCGCTCGAGTAAATCCCGATTTAGCGTCTTTGGCTCCCCTTCTACAATAGTATATGATTTTAAAGGTCAAGCAACCAACAAGCCAAGGTTATAAAATTAAGTAATTTATCGTAGAAGGCGCGCCGGAGTGCTGTGGTGATAAGTGTGTTTTCGTGTTTTGTAGCTTCCGATAATGATATAAATAAAAATTTATGAATCATAAACAAGTTTGTGTAATGCAACCAATGCCTATAAAACGTACGTACTATTATGTAAGCATTTACCAACATCTTTGGTTGGTTCTAGTATTTTTTAGGGTGACAACCTCGAAACGATGGCTTCATTGTTCGTTCGTCCGGCGAACATGGAAGGAGAGTTGAAGTTCTCAATGAATCAAAAGTCAATATATCTTTCTTTATTGAAATTGGATGCACATTACAAATCTTTTGAATCGTCCAAATTTTTTTCCCTGCCATCAATCAGTTAAGGACATTTTTTAGCTGTGGAGAAAAATTGGCGAAAAAAAGCTTTATAGCCTTAATTAATTATGTAACAAACATTCGATGGCGCGGGTGGTGGTGGTGGTTGGTGGCAGCGTTCGGCTGCGATCGTTGAAGTTAAGCAACTTTCGCAGTGGTCGGTCATTGGATGGGTGACCAAAAATTTACTATCTCGAGCTCCTCCGTGCTTCGAAAGGCACGTTAAGCCGTTGGTCCCTGTTGCATCTGTAGTCGTTAACACCCACTAATCCACACTGGGCCCGCGTGGTGGGTCATGGCCCAAAAACTCCCTATTCTATCCTTAGGGAAGGCCTTTGCCCCAGCAGTGGGGATATTAATAGGTTGATGATGACGAATCAAATCAAAAGGCTGATGATGATGATGATTAAAATAACCTACATTCTTAATGACGGAAAACGCAACTCCACATGCAATTTAAAAATGAAAACCGTATTCAAAGAAAAACAGAAGATTCATGTAGAAAAGTCAAAGAACAGGAGAAATTTCACAAAAACAGGAGATCCCCTGTGTGGCGGCGACATCTACACGCCCCACATGAAACTAACATAGAGAAAACAATCTTACGCCTCCTCAAGAGATGGCACTACCGGCGCTGCGTTCACAACGTAAGGAAGCCTACATCGCGCAAGTAAAATTCGGTAGCCAACAGTTCATATATACGATGTTCGACCAACATCAATCGGGCCGCGGCCCCCGAGCTACCATCACCCAGCTCGGAGGAAGATCTTCCCCTTTGGTCTTCTTACACCGGTGACCCTCGACTGAGCACAGCAGCAGCAAGAAGCAACCTTCAACCATCGCAGCGCAGCCATCAAACCTCATACCCCTTCCTCATCAGGTCAAGCAACATCAGCAGCCACACAGCAAGCCAGCATCAGCCTCAAGGTTCCATCGCAGCTCTCAACGACGCTTCCTGGACCTTCGGCAGCACTCGACGGCATCATTCCGACCTGGTCTTCGCAGCCTATGACCGGTACCTCACTTGTCGGCCGCAAGCACACCGGCGTGGCAGCCCTGCACACCAGCAGCTCGGACCCACCGTCACACTCCACCTGTCTCGACTCACCGTAGACTGGAGCAACTCTGCAGCACTGGGCGACGCGCCTTCACCCCACCCGTCTCGACTCACCGCATACTGGGGCATCCTGCAGCACACTGGCACTTGCAAGCTCTGACGCACTGACTGCTGAAAACATAGACTATCGACCTCCGGTCTCGGAGGGGAGTGATGTGGCGGCGACATCTACACGCCCCACATATAACTAACATAGAGAAAACAATCTTACGCCTCCTCAAGAGATGGCACTACCGGCGCTGCCTTCACAACGTAAGGACGTCCACATCGCGCAAGTAAAATTCGGGAGCCAACAGTTCATATGTACGATGCCCGATTAACATCAATCGGGCCGCGGCCCCCGAGCTAACATCACCCAGCTCGGACGAAGATCTTCCCCTTTGGCCTTCCTACACCCTGTAAAATCGAGAGACCTGGCAACTTCATTACGATAAAACTAAAGTCAAATTTCGAACGCTAATTTCGAGCGCATTTAGTACCAAGCTTCGTGTAGGAGTGGGAGAAGCATAAGAGATACTAGAAGAAATTTGACACGTTTATTAACGTATCGGCAGCCAAGCGGTAGCTAAATTTGCCAAGATTGCGAAGACTGATCTGGTCTGGATCAGTCTTCGGACTTCTTCTTCTGCCTAGAAAATGTGTAGTCCACATCCCAAAACTGCATGAACGTATTGCCTAAACTTTTCTCTCCAAGTGCCATATGTAGCGTCAGCGTGCCAAAGTTATAAAGTTACCTAATCATTCTAAGTATAATCAGTTGTTTAACACTATAAAATAAACATATGTACGTAATGTTAACTGTTGTTATGAATTAAACGCAGACTTTAATGGGCTCAAAGATAACATTGCCCTATATGACTTTTACGAGGACAAATAACCAGTCGACATTGATATGGATTCTAAAACTGTGCTGATACTATCTATGAATACCTCCATGCTGTTAGCTTGAGAGTATTAAAGAATAGAAGGTATGAAAATAACAAAAAGGTTGTCATTACTCGTTCCGTAAGCCGTAATGATTATGAAAAAAGATGATTCTTAAGCTAAGGTCACATATTCTGGACATTTCACGATGACATTCTTGCTACACTCATTACTGCTAATATCTGATTGAAGTCATATTGTGATTAAACGCTACTTATTCCTCCTCCTTGTGTCCTGCTCCTCATTGCTGAGGGTCGTGACCGCCACGAATTATTTTGTGGACAAACGCTTTCCACTTGTTGCGGTCTTCGGCAGTGCGGAGTGCATCGCGGACTCCAGTTTTGGTGTTGTCGTGGATTTAGTCTGTCCAGCGCATACGGCTTCTTCCTCTTGGTCGCCTTCCCTGTACTTTTCCTGTCATCAGGAGCACTTCCAGGGTATCGTTTTTCTTCCTCGCTATGTGACCGAAGAATTCGAGGATCCTACGCAAAAAGACTGTGGAAAGCCTAACGGTGACTCCCAACTTTTTAAGATTTGACGCATTTGTGCGGTGGCCTGTCCACGGAACTCGTAACATTCTCCTCCAGCACCACATCACAAATGCGTTAATACAAGATCTGGATCTGCCTGCGTTCTTGAGGGTCTACGATTCCATACCGTAGATGAATATGGATAACGATGGAGTTCTCCCGCTACCCATTACATGGCGGCAAATAAAACATTTGATTGATTATCTTAAGTTATTTTTTTAAAACTGTTTATTGCCTTGTACAATACAATATTCCATAACATCAAACTATATCAATTTACAGCTTTTCTACATAAATTAAAGCATCTGACACCCTTTAGCCGACTGAAAAATAACCCCGCAAGTTAACCGACAACACAGCGACACTTATTAGTAAAGTTTGGGTACACACATCGCAAAACCCTGAATCTTCGGGTAAACGGGATGAGTGTAGACTAGGCATTATAGCCTTTTGGTGGTGTCGTTTGTGTCGATAAGTCAGGTTCCAGGGTTCCACAGGGTAGAGGATAGGCAACGGAGCGAGTGATCCTATTTGGGCCAAGCACGAATTTTTACAGGTCCGTAATCGTATCGGATTCGTCAAATTTCCTAAGGATTCTTCTCATCTCTCTTCTCTTCTATCTTATCAGTTTATTCTTACGTCCGGCAGGAGCGCTGTTTAGTTTCCATAGAAACATTGACGCTGCGATACGATTACGGATCTGATAGTTTATGGTGTTTGTTATGCATCTTCGCCACCCATTTTACATATAAATAGTATGCAAACTAACATTAAATCTTTAAAATTTGCAGTGAATGAAGAGAAGCCAGCCCCTAACGACGTGGAGGCAGGTGCATCCAATAACGCAGAAGATCAGAGTCAAGATGAGCAAAAGTGTGAGAACGGAAATCGGAGGATACTCCAGAGGATTGAGACTGTCCCCGATATCAAAAAGGACACCTCGGGAATCACAACCCAGTACATCGCGACGGGGATAGGTGACTGTTTTAATTATGAATAAACCATACTAATATTAGAAATGCGAAAGTGTGTCTGTACGTCTGTTACCTCTTCACGCCCAAAATGTGCTGTATTAGATTAAAATTTGGTATAGTGATAATAAATCCCGGGAAAGGACATAGGATAGCTTTTATCCTAGAAATCACCCTTTAAGGAGATGAAAAGGGGAATGAAGCTTGTATGGGAAATAAATTTGTCCACGACGACAAAGTCGCGGACACCCTTTAATAAGTTTATATGTTAAAATCATTTTCAAAAGCAAGCTTTTATTAAAATGACCAAAATTTGACTACATTCACGTTCGTGTTGATTATGTAAACCAATTCTGATTGTTGTTAAATTGAATCTGCCGACAGGAGCTGATAATATACTTTCAAAGTGAAAAAAAAACCCATGATTTACTGGTTCTGTAATGTCCTGCCTCGCTCGGAACTGCAGATGACTTTTGTTACCATCTCTTTTTAACTTTTCTTGTATTTAGTCCATACATTCATGGACATTATTCCGGGAAAGCATTTTATTATAAAGTCAGTTAAACAATTGAATAAAGCAATGCAACGACTCGACTTGCTATGCTCCGCTCTGCTCAGCTTGGGTGACAAATCAACATCGAACTATGCTTCGCTGTGCACGTATATTAAGCTAGCAGACCATGGTCGCAACGCGCACATCTAACCTACTGGGTATTTAGTTGCTAATTAGTTGCTAATTAGTTACACTATTCCCGATTTAGTTGCTCAACACCTGTAAAAGATACATGCGATCTGCTAGCTTAAGTCTTAACCTAGCAGACCACAATACTGTATCTTCGGTTCTCGTAAAGATATCGAAGTTCTGCAAACGGCATATTTAGTTGCTAATTAGTTGCTAATTAGTTACACTATTCCCGATTTAGTTGCTCAACACCTGTAAAAGATACATGCGATCTGCTAGCTTAAGTCTTAACCTAGCAGACCACAATACTGTATCTTCGGTTCTCGTAAAGATATCGAAGTTCTGTAAACGGCATATTTAGTTGCTAATTAGTTACACTATTCCCGATTTAGTTGCTCAACACCTGTAAAAGATACATGCGATCTGCTAGATTAAGTCTTAACCTAGCAGACCACAATACTGTATCTTCGGTTCTCGTAAAGATATCGAAGTTCTGCAAACGGCATATTTAGTTGCTAATTAGTTGCTGTAGGACAGCATTATTTGTATTATCCCCCCATCATCCCTTAATTGCCGCACCAGCACCCACACTACCCCCGAAATACGATAAAATTAAAAAGATCTCATCAGAGAATATAAACTACGGCATATTTCGTTGCTAATTAGTTGCTGCAAAATAGCGTTGTTTAAAAAATTTAATTATCAACCCTTAACTCCAGATCATCCCTGCAACCACCTCAGAATAGGACGATACCGGAAAATTCTCGTAGGTGGAAAATAGACGCGGGATATTTAGTTACTAATTAGTTGCTCGTCAAAAACGCAGATAAGAGTATTCTACAATCATCCCCTAACCTCAGATACTACCCCTCTACTCACTAAAAAATAGTAGATGGTTCGAATTCACACGCAGATGTTTAAAACTGCTGGATATTTTGTTGCTAATTAGTTGCTCGCCAAAAACGCAGATAAGAGTATCCTACAATCATCCCCTAACCTCAGATACTACCCCTCTACTCACTAAAAAATAGTAAATGGTTCGAATTCACACGCAGATGTTTAATACTGCTGGATATTTTGTGGCTAATTAGTTGCTGCAAAATAGCGTTGTTTAAAAAATTTAATTATCAACCCTTAACTGCAGATCATCCCTGCAACCACCTCGGAATAGGACGATACCGGAAAATTCTCGTAGGTGAAAAATAGACGCGGGATATTTAGTTACTAATTAGTTGCTCGTCAAAAACGCAGATAAGAGTATTCTACAATCATCCCCTAACCTTAGATCCAACCCCTCTACTCACTTAGAAACAGTAGATGGTTGGAATTCGCACGCAAATGTTTAAAACTGCTGGATGTTCTGTTGCTAATTAGTTGCTCGCCAAAAACGTAGATAAGAGTATCCTACAAACATCCCCTAACCTCAGATACTACCCCTCTACTCACTAAAAAATAGCAGATGGTTCGAATTCACACGCAGATGTTTAAAACTGCTGGATATTATGTTGCTAATTAGTTGCTGCAAAATAGCGTTGCTTATAGTGTTTAATTATCAACCCTTAACTCCAGATCATCCCTGCAACCACCCCAGAATAGGACGATATCGGAAAATTCTCGTAGGTGGAAAAAAGACGCGGCATATTTAGTTGCTAATTAGTTGCTCGCCAAAAACGCAGTTAAGAGTATTCTACAATCATCCCCTAACCTCAGATCCATCCCCTCTACTCACTTAAAAATAGTAGACAGTTCGAATTTGCACGCAGATGTTTCAAACTGCTGGATATTTTGTTACTAATTAGTTGCTCGCCAAAAACGCAGTTAAGAGTATTCAACAATCATCCCCTAACCTCAGATCCATCCCCTCTACTCACTTAAAAATAGTAGACAGTTCGAATTTGCACGCAGATGTTTAAAACTGCTGGATGTTTTGTTACTAATTAGTTGCTCGCCAAAAACGCAATTAAGAGTATTCTACAATCATCCCCTAACCTCAGATCCATCCCCTCTACTCACCTAAAAATAGTACACAGTTCGAATTTGCACGCAGATGTTTAAAACTGCTGGATATTTTGTTACTAATTAGTTGCTCGCCAAAAACGCAATTAAGAGTATTCTACAAACATCCCCTAACCTCAGATGCAACCTCTCTACTCACTTAGAAACAGTAGATGGTTAAAAATCGCACGCAGATGTTTAACACTGCTGGATGTTTTGTTGTTAATTAAATGCCGAAAAATAGCGTTGCTTAAAATATTTGATTATCAACCCTTAACTCCAGATCATCCCTGCAACCACCCCAGAATAGGACGATTTCGGAAAATTCTCGTAGGTGGAAAATAGACGCGGGATATTTAGTTGCTCATTAGTTGCTAATTAGTTACACTATTCCCGATTTAGTTGCTCAACACCTGTAAAAGATACATGCGATCTGCTAGATTAAGTCTTAACCTAGCAGACCACAATACTGTATCTTCGGTTCTCGTAAAGATATCGAAGTTCTGCAAACGGCATATTTAGTTGCTAATTAGTTGCTAATTAGTTACACTATTCCCGATTTAGTTGCTCAACACCTGTAAAAGATACATGCGATCTGCTAGATTAAGGCTTAACCTAGCAGACCACAATACTGTATCTTCGGTTCTCGTAAAGATATCGAAGTTCTGCAAACGGCATATTTAGTTGCTAATTAGTTGCTAATTAGTTACACTTTTCCCGATTTAGTTGCTCAACACCTGTAAAAGATACATGCGATCTGCTAGATTAAGTCTTAACCTAGCAGACCACAATACTGTATCTTCGGTTCTCGTAAAGATATCGAAGTTCTGCAAACGGCATATTTAGTTGCTAATTAGTTGCTGTAGGACAGCATTATTTGTGTTATCCCCCCATCATCCCTTAATTGCCGCTCCAGCACCCACACTACCCCCGAAATACGATAAAATTAAAAAGAGCTCATCAGAGAATATAAACTACGGCGTATTTCGTTGCTAATTAGTTGCTGCAAAATAGCGTTGTTTAAAAAATTTAATTATCAACCCTTAACTGCAGGTCATCCCTGCAACCACCTCGGAATAGGACGATACCGGAAAATTCTCGTAGGTGGAAAATAGACGCGGGATAATTAGTTACTAATTAGTTGCTCGTCAAAAATGCAGATAAGAGTATTCTACAATCATCCCCTAACCTTAGATCCAACCCCTCTACTCACTTAGAAACAGTAGATGGTTGGAATTCGCACGCAAATGTTTAAAACTGCTGGATGTTCTGTTGCTAATTAGTTGCTCGCCAAAAACGCAGATAAGAGTATACTACAAACATCCCCTAACCTCAGATACTACCCCTCTACTCACTAAAAAATAGCAGATGGTTCGAATTCACACGCAGATGTTTAAAACTGCTGGATATTATGTTGCTAATTAGTTGCTGCAAAATAGCGTTGCTTATAGTGTTTAATTATCAACCCTTAACTGCAGATCATCCCTGCAACCACCTCGGAATAGGACGATACCGGAAAATTCTCGTAGGTGGAAAATAGACACGGGATATTTAGTTACTAATTAGTTGCTCGTCAAAAATGCAGATAAGAGTATTCTACAATCATCCCCTAACCTTAGATCCAACCCCTCTACTCACTTAGAAACAGTAGATGGTTGGAATTCGCACGCAAATGTTTAAAACTGCTGAATGTTCTGTTGCTAATTAGTTGCTCGCCAAAAACACAGATAAGAGTATCCTACAAACATCCCCTAACCTCAGATACTACCCCTCTACTCACTAAAAAATAGCAGATGGTTCGAATTCACACGCAGATGTTTAAAACTGCTGGATATTATATTGCTAATTAGTTGCTGCAAAATAGCGTTGCTTATAGTGTTTAATTATCAATCCTTAACTCCAGATCATCCCTGCAACCACCCCAGAATAGGACGATATCGGAAAATTCTCGTAGGTGGAAAATAGACGCGGCATATTTAGTTGCTAATTAGTTGCTCGCCAAAAACGCAGTTAAGAGTATTCTACAATCATCCCCTAACCTCAGATCCATCCCCTCTACTCACTTAAAAATAGTAGACAGTTCGAATTTGCACGCAGACGTTTAAAACTGCTGGATATTTTGTTACTAATTAGTTGCTCGCCAAAAACGCAATTAAGAGTATTCTACAAACATCCCCTAACCTCAGATGCAACCCCTCTACTCACTTAGAAACAGTAGATGGTTAAAATTCGCACGCAGATGTTTAAGACTGCTGGATGTTTTGTTGTTAATTAAATGCCGAAAAATAGCGTTGCTTATAATATTTGATTATCAACCCTTAACTCCAGA